GGGGGGGGGTTGGAGTATAGAAAGTATATAGAACCGTTTGGCCCCGTTCTACATAGCTTAGAGGCTTTGGTTTTGACAATCTCAAAGAATACCGTCTCTACAGACATTCTGCTTCCGCTATATATATCAGCATGGGCCGGATTATCAGAGTGGCGGCTGTCCAAGCAGAGCCCGTGTGGAACAACTTGGAAGGCGCAGTGGACAAAACAATATCGATTATTCAAAGTGCTGCGAACGAAGGAGCCAATGTTATTGGCTTCCCAGAGGTATGGATTCCCGGGTTTCCTTGGTAAGTGACTACACCCAGCTTTTATACATCATAATTTAACCTAGTCCAGGAGCATCTGGTCTCGCGGCGCGGTGGAAAATACACCATATATGAATGAGTATTTTAAGAATTCGCTAGAGAGGGAGTCGCCAGATATGGATCGAATTAGATTGGCAGTGAAGGAGGCTGGAATATTCTGTGTTTTGGGGTATTCCGAGCGCAATAGAGGCAGTCTGTATATGGCTCAGGTGCGATGATCTTCAATCCTACAATACATTTACCTTCCTGACCATGAGCAGTCTTTCATCGATGAAAATGGCGATATTATTCACCATCGTCGCAAAATGAAACCCACCCATATCGAGCGCGGCTATTGGGGAGATGGACAAGGAGAGTCCATTCGACCTGTCGCTAACACATCCTTTGGAAACATTGGAGCTCTCAACTGCTGGGAGCATCTCCAGCCTTTACTGAAATATCTCGAATACTCGCAAGATGTTGAGATCCATGTGGCCAGCTGGCCTCCGATCTGGGATAAACGGGAAGGGATCGAATGGGCGGACCATATGACGGCAGAAATGAGTACAAAGATTTGTCAAACTATGGCCGTCGAGGGGACTTGTTTTGTGTTGATTTGCACGCAGGTGATGAGTGAAGAAAGCAAAAAGAAGAGTAACTTGGAGGATTTCAAATTTGCCCAATGTCCCGGCGGTGGATTCAGCATGATATTCGATGCCTTTGGGAAACCCCTAGTCAAAGCGCTCCCGCCAGGGGAAGAAGGAATCCTTTACGCTGATGTTGATCTCGACCTCAAGAGACAGGCGCAGCAGAGCTTGGATGTTGTCGGCCATTACTCTCGGCCAGACCTATTAAGCCTTACCGCGAACGCTACGGAAGCTAGACCTGTGACTAGAATGCAGGACAACAATAATAGTCATTGATGGTCCTTTATATGGCCGAATAAGAGAACCCAGTCTTGGCCAGACTGGCTCTTTAGACTCGAGTCTAGTGTCCACGGCAGTTGTGTGTCGACAGCAGTCCAGTAACGGCTCCTGTCTCGCTAAAACCGCAACTCTGTAAAACGCAAGTCAATGAAGTAACTTCAGGTTAGTAACCCATTGTGAATAGTAGATAGTTCTCTGACACCCATACTCGATCTAAGATTGTACTATTACCAATTTTCAACCAAAAATGGACTACATGATCTACTATTGTGACACTTCTAGAGTCCAGGCACTTTTTGTTGTCGAGCAGACTTTGCTCAATACCAATTGACCAAATGCTGACTGCTTAGCCAAGCAATGGGGCTGGAATCTAGACTTACACCCAGTGTACCACCCAACGCCCAAACAAACAGGCAGCCAATGGATTTACGAGGTGCAGTTCGTATCTGTAGGTACAGTCAGATACGAAAATAGACACGATGTAACCTTGCAGAAACTGGATGTTGCCTTTTATTGTTGGGGTCTTTTTAAAAGGCCTCAAATGCCGCTTAGATTTTTACATTGTACTCTCTACCAATTTCGCAAATCGGCCTATCAACCCTTAGCTTCTAACCTAGTGCCTTCAAGATGCAGTTTTCCTCTATCATTTTTGTTATTACCGCTCTTCTAGCTGTTGCAGTCAGCGCCGCTCCTGCAGAGGCGGGCAAGAGTAATTGCGGACATGTGTGCTTCTCTAAAGACCATAAATGTCCTAGTGGATTAGTGAGTCATCCCTTATAGCTTTTGTTTGTATTATTTTTCACTAACGTTTTGTTTAGCATCTCAAAGGTGTAGGTACCGACGGCTCATTTTTTTCTTGTGAATACTAACCATGTTGATAGTTCAACAACAACCAATGCTACCGCTGCTGCCACTAGATTCGCTTCTTAGAGGATTTTGTTTATTGGTTGTCTAAGTTGTCTTGCTACGTCTATGTATCATAGCTGGAAATACGAATATGTACAAACTCTTACATCTGAATTGAAGTATACCATTAAAACAATAAGCACCAGATCCTATCCATCGTGCTCTATTATTAAATCACTAGAATTAATCAATCAGTTATAATTGGTTGATTTTCTCCCCGATTCCCCGTGTGCTCATACTTCGGCTTCCACATAAATCAGTCGAAAACAAAAAGTTTCGCAGTGAAGATCCACTGTACAAGCTATTCTTCTGCAGAAATTGCTAATTCATAGCTTTCATGTGCCGTCCATGTGAATTAAGGCCACTGACCTCCCTAATGTATCCTTCTTCAGTAACACCATCACCTGTACCACCATGTTACAGAACCTACAAACTACTGGATTGAAGGCGGCCATGAACAGCAAATAAGAAGACAGGAAGATATATACTGTCTGGAGCAAAGAACACTAATAAACAATTCTGATAGAAAGTATTATACTAAAATATATAACCAGAACAATAGTGTATTTAATACTAATAGTATAAATATATCAATATAATCTATATATACTAAGATAGTCTAGATAAACCAAACTCACTGTAAGAGATACTGCTAGGGCTCAGTATTTCACAGGACCAAAAGATCATAATAATTCTGGATCGACGATCCTAGAGTTGATATCGGGTCGCGTTCCGGTCCAAAATCTAGGACCCGGCCCTAACCCGGCTCCGGGGCAGGTGTTTGATAGGCAAACCTGTACCGGCCCCAAACCCGCGCCGATTTAGGTAAACCTGATAAAAAAAAAAAAAAGAAAATCTGCATAGATTTTGCTGATTCAGAACAGATTTTAGTTCTAGAATCTATTTCTAGAAGCAGATCCTAGATCAAGGATCCGATCCGGAAAATTACCGGGTTCAGAGCGAGTTTGGGGCGGGTTAGCGGGTGACCCAACCAACTCTAGAGCTAATACAAGTACATTATCTAAAAATCTATGATATAGCCTGTCTACTCTTTCAAGTCATAACTTTTATTACCAAACAGATATAGCAGTTAGCTTAGTCTACTGAGGTATATCGTTAGTCCTAGTATAACAGGATAACGCGTAGAGTGGTTATCGGGTCGGGTTCGGGTCCTAGATCTAGGAACCGCCCCCGAACCGCTCCGGTTTCGGGTTCTAGACCTAGGACCTGTCCCCGCCCCGCCCCCGCGCGGATTTATATTAACCCGACCCGCCGGTTCCCCGCCAAGGAATGTACTATACCTAATATAGTATAGCCCGTGTATACTAATCTAACTATAGTTAAATTTAGATTCGGGGAATCCGACCTGATCTAACCTATTTATTTTTATTATATAACTGTAACAGTAGCTACTTTAGATAACAAAATTCTATTATAAATAAGATACTGGCCGGCTATCCTAATATATAAATATATTTATACCAGAATCATAATTTATATAGAGAATTTTAAATTTCTAATTTTTAAGTAATTTATTCTATAATCTATTATATTTTCTATAGAAACTACTATATAATTCTAAATAGTCTTTAGCTTATTAATACTATAACTCTAAAATCTATTAGCCAACTATATTTTATATATATACTAATAAATAGATTTCTTATTCTATATAGTAGTATCTCGAATAGATTATATATATATATTTATATTATACTGTATATATAATAAAAGACTCTAAGTAAAAGATTAAACTTTTAATATAGTAATATATTATATATAATATAAAGAATCAAGGACTAATCTATCTATAG